TGGATCCATTCAAAGGGGTCCCGACTTCCTATCAGTTGTCCCCTCTTCCGCAGCCCATAGGTTTCCACCAATGCGTCCTCTCTCCCTGTGATATGCACCAACCCCATCTGGCCAGGTATCCTATCAAAGCCCACCCAATCCCCTTCCTTTAAACTGCCAGTACACGGCCCCAGCCTTGCTGAAAAAGAAACTTGTAGCCTACGAAAAATTTGGAGGCTCGGACATGGACACAGGTAACTCAGTTCTGCAGAGAGTGGCTGGAAGGAGACAAAGGGGGGTGGGTTGTATTGGTGGTATGGTCAGGCAATAGAACAGGAGGAGGGCAGAGTGAAGGGGATGGCATAGGGGCCCAAGTTGCCCGGGACTATTGCCATATTCTCAACAACCGGACAAAAGTCGATGCCAGCATACCTATGAGATCTGCAGAAGACTTCCCAGACTTGTTCCCCCCACATCCGCTGTCCCTGGAAGTGCGCCTCTGAGGGACTGACTGGGGAACGAGGAAGGAGAGGGAGGGGAGGAGGGTGAGAGGGTCGGTACCCCCTAAAGCTCTTACCCCTGCTCCCCAGCCCAACCCTGGTGCCAGGAAGGAGTACTTTAGGAAGGATTTTCTAAAAAAGAGAGTTTTAGCCGAAGCCTGGTAATGGCCCCGGTACCTTCTCCCCACCAACGGAACAGACCGACCCGTGCCGTTAAAAAAAAAAAGAAAAGAAAAGAAAAAAAAAAAATATGTCGTATACATGTTTTCATAAGGGACGCTGGGCCCGGTTCCCAGCACGTGCTGCTCCCCACGAACGGAGCATGTGTTAAAACAATCTATTTGACGATATATATATATATATATATATCAATTTCACACTTCAGCGAGGGGCTGTCTTCAGACCCCCCGTTTTCTTCTTAGACCCATTTCCCCCTTCCAGCAGGGAGATGTTTTCCACTGTTCACAACTGGGACGCTGGACCCGGCCTCCAGCAGGTGATGCTCCCTACCAATAGAAAGGAGCCGTCGAACAGGGAAGTTAAACTACTGGAGGGTGCTCTTATCACCCCCAGTAGTTTATACTCCTGCAATGAATGCTCCTGCAAAGTAAAGGAAAGAAGTTGCATGGCAGACAGTCAATCCTTCCCTTAGGAGGAGAACTAATCAATGCCTATTGGCAGTTCTTTTTGGTTTGTTGTTCTGTCCCCTCTGTTGCAATGGTGTTTTCTATGGGACACTGAACCCGGTTTCCAGCAGGTCGCCCCCCCCAGGCCGTGGCCAATACATTTGGATATTCCCTGAAAAAATGGGGGAAAATGGTAATGTTTGCAACTTTGCACGGAATTACAATTTAGACCATACTTGGTCGAGTCTGATACGGTCGGAGCACACGCGAGTACTGCTGTGGAGGTGCATGAGTGCTGCGGTGGTGGCGTGAGAGCGCTGCTGCGGTGGCGCCAGTGCCTGCTGTGGTAGTGCGCGAGTGCTGCTGTTGTAGAGCGGGAGTGCTGCTGCTGTAGCGCGGGAGTGCTGCTGCGGTGGCGCGAGTGCCGCTGTGGTGGTATGTATGCTGCGTGAGTGTGACGACGGGGAGGATCAGCACATGACCTGCATTGGCTGCCATGTTACATGCTGCCATGTCAGCATGGGGAATGAGGGCGCATGCGGACGCTGAGTGCTGCTACATTACCGTGGGGATGGTGCATTTCTAGTTGACAGAGTCGAGAAAAGGTGATGGGCTTTTTGTTCTGTTTTGTGCCGATCTCCTGGCGTCACAGGCTGGCACAGGCAGAGAGGGGGGGTAGACGGGAGAAGTGGGGGGGTGATGGGAGGAAGTGGAGGGACGGGTGTGGCTAGCCTGCAGGATTGTAATAGGGTAAAGCAGCGGTGGAGATGGTGGCTTCATCGTGGTAAGACTTGCCGGAGTAGGGTTCAGGGGGTTTGTTGGGGGGATATCTGCAACCAGTGCATGAAGGAGACGAATAATGAGATCTACAGCTATGGTGCTGATTGGTGGCTTGACTGCTATTTGCCTTAGTCCTGAGTCCCGGTGGTTTGCAAAAAGACGAGGCCAGAACGATGCTGGTCAGTGCTGGGGCTTGGTTGTGCTGCCCTGTAACTCGAGCTGTACGAGGGCATGAGACCTGGTAGAGAGATCTGAGAGATCTGGGGAGTTGTCGAGGGTGGAAGGCACTCTAGTGTCTTTTGGTGAGCTGGTGCCTAGTCGATGCTGGCCGGAGCCGGGGCAGGTCGCTTTGCCCTGTGGCCTAGCAGGTGGGGGTTACTCTGGGGTGCGTCATGCCACTCTGTAGCCTAGCAGTTGGGGGCATGAGGCCTGGTAGAGATTGGGCATCGGGATATAGGGGTGAGGCAGGTAGGGTTGGGCTGCTGAAAGGCCCTAAACCACCAGTACCTCCGAGCCTGTTTTTGCCGACCCTGAATTTCACTGCGCTCCGAGTTTGCCGAGCCTGGGTCCCACTCCATTTCTTTATGGTACTCTCACGGGGAGAAAAAACAAAGGAAAAAATAATAGAAAAGTTGCGGCCGTGAAACTTACAAAAAAAGAAAAGGATACAATGTTCTGGCTGTGATTGTAGTTGTATACATTCTTGGAAGTGGTAGTGTGAGTATGCTCTCAGTGAGGGGCATCTCAGCCCCGTGGCCAGGTTGTCAGATTCCAAAAACATACAAAAAAAAAAAAAAAAAAAAAAATAGAAACACGTAGTCGGCCATGAAAATGGCTGGATATGTTCCTCTAAGTGCCAGTGTGATGAGGGTTGCAATCCTCTGAGGGAACACAGCCCGAGCAGATCACGGATTCAGATTGTCAGATTCCAAAAACAGAAGGGACAAAAAAAAGAAACGGAAACACGCATTCGGCCGTGAAAATGGTTGGACACATCAGGAATACAATCCTCTGAGGAAACACAGCCAGCGCAGATCATGGATTCCGCCCTGCCTCGTTGGCAGGGGACTCGTAATAAACAAACGAGAAATAAAAAAAGAAAACAACAAGTTTCAGAATGTGACCGTCTTTGCTGTAGGATGCATTTTGTTGAGGAAGACTGGACTACCCTGCCCGACATCTGCAGTACATAAGCTTTTTTTTTTTTTCCTTTTTCTTTCACGCGCGGGCAAAAGAAAACTAAGATTTATGGGACTCGCCGATCTTGGGTCCCACCACCGATTTCTTCGCGGACAGACCAGTACATTGTAATTTCCCAACACTGGCAGAGGTACTCGTGGTCTAAGGGAGGTGATTTTTTTCCGAATGCTTCTTTGATCCGAACTTTGGGAGACACAAAATTTCAGTGTTCTTGTTAAAAAAAAAAGCCGAAGCCGGGTAATAGCCCCGGTATTTCAAAGATATCTTAAAAAAAAGGTTTGTTTACAGGTGGTTCTGAGAATGCTTTAGGATTCTGGGGACTTCTAGCAACTTGCTGTAGGCTGTTTGATACTGGTACATTCATGGATCTGAGGTTGTCAGATGCCAGAACGACGCTGGCCGGTGCTGGGGTGTCGCCTTGTAACCTGCYGACTGCAGGAGCGTGAGGCCTGGTAGAGAGATCTGGGGATGCTTTGGGGTGGGCATTCCAAGGGACAACCAAGGGTTGCTGTTGGGACGACGCTGGCCGGAGCTGGGGCRAGTCGTGTTGCTCTGTAACCTAGCCGGGTGGGAGTGTGAGGGCTGGGAGAGCTCGACAGGGAATAAGACAGTGTTGGATAGTTTTAGAGAGTTTTGTTTGGGAGTCTAGGGGTTCTGAGCATTCGAAAAGAGGTCAGTAGTCATTCATAGTTTTTCAACCACTTTTTAATTCTCTTGAATTTCTTCAATAGTTCTCAATAGTTCTCAGATTGATTCTCAGCCGAAGCCGGGTAATGGCCCCGGTATCTCAAATGACTTGTGTAACTCTATATGGGACGCTGGGCCCGGTTCCCAGCATGTGCTGCTCCCCAAGAATAGACTGGAGCATTTGTCCMAAAAAAAAAAAAAAAAAAAAAAGAGAGGGGGCGGGATGTGTAAAAGGAGGGGGTGAAGGAGGGAGAGAGGGGAACAGAGAGTGGGTGAGCAGGGCGGGGATTGCTGTTTTTTGAGACAAATGGCGGAAGGGGGGGAAGGGGGTATCTCACGTTTCTTGCTAATTAGCAATCTGGTATGTTTTTCTAGTTTCCATGCAGAAGGAATTCCTAATTCTTTATTATTTTGTCTTTAGTCTATAATTCTAATTGAAATTCACTAAAAAAATAGTAAACTTGCAATCTTAATATTAAAATATTAATCTAAAATAGACTAATATATATTATATTCTGTAATAATTAATCTAGTTATTAACTTTATCATCATTCTATCATCAACCTAACGATTGACCCATCAGAATGGGAGTGGACATGGGGGGAATCCCAAACAAGGACCCTGTGGCAATACACAGTGAAGAAGGGCTATAGAGCAGCGCGTAAACCAGTTAGGATCGCCGACCAAATCACCAAGCGCTGGGAGGACTTCAGGCACTTCCAGTGTTCCACATTCTCCCATATCCGACCGACCAGCCATAGAGCCCTTCAGTGGCAAATCATACGTAGGTGCCTGCCTACCCCGGATTGGAACCAGTTAGGATCGCCGACCAAATCACCAAGCGCTGGGAGAGAGACTCCCCGCTGGGGCTACAGGACTTCAGGCACTTCCAGTGGTCCACATTCTCCCATATCCGACCGACCAGCCATAGAGCCCTTCAGTGGCAAATCATACATAGGTGCCTGCCTACCCCGGATTGGATCACGTCATGCACTGATCTGGAGGAAAAAGGGCTGCTGTCCCCACTGTGCTCTTACTGCTCCCACACACTTCCCAACGGAAGAGCTACCCTGGAGCACTGCCTGCTGGATTGCCCCCTGGTGCTCCAACTATGGAGGTGGTGGGATGCAGCATGGCACAACCTTACAGATCACCACCTCCTCTGGGAGGTGGGTTGCGTCACGTTGCCTTGTAGCCTAGCATCTTGGGGCCGTGAGACAGGGCTTAGACCTGGTAGTTAAAACAGGACAGCTAAGTTTGGTTTCAGTGAGGTGAAAGCGTCACTTGGAACGTAGGGTTTGGTAGAAGTAAGGTGAGGAGTGGTTCATGAGCTCTCACATCTTCTTCGCAACTTCTGCTGAAATATTCCTCCCCCGGAGCTGGATAATGGCTTCGGTAGTCTCAGAAGCATCATTAAATGCTCATCGTACTCTCATGTAATCGTATGATTATTTAAAAAAAAAAAAAAAAAAAAAAAAAAAACTTGGTCTGTCTTCTGGTGTGCTGGGTCTCTGTTCTGCTTTTCATAGTATTCTGAGTAACTTTTCCTCAACCACAAACAACAGGGTTCATCAAGCAGATCAACGAGTAGTTAGTGACACGCCTGCTGCCAGTGACACATTAGCTAACGATAGCCTTCCAGTATAGCCTGTAGTCATACTGCTAACGAACTTAGCTGAAGTGAGTTATAATAATCATAGCTTCGGTTATAATATAATAGCCAGCCTGCTTCAGTGTAATATAGTAGCTAGCCTGATTCACTGCTGCCGCTGATGATGATGGTGGGGACAACGATTGAGTGAGACGTGGAGGAGGAAGTCGACAGCGATGTGATGCTGATGATGATGGATCGTTGATGATCAATAATGGTATGGTGATGGCTGTTGTTGTCGATGATGATGATGATGATGATGATGATGATGATGATGATGATGATGATGACGACGACGACGACGACGACGACGACAACGACAACGACGACGAAGATGATGATGATGATGATGATGATGATGATGATGATGACGATGATGATGACGATGACGATGACGATGATGATGATGATGATGATGATGATGACGATGATGCCGACGAAGATGGACGACGATGATGACGACTATGAACAACAGAGTTGGCTGATGAGTGTGAACTGAAGGCAATCTCCCACTGCGACAAACAGAGCTGAGGAAGGGCAGCGTTGTCCTCTGAAGGTAGGTAGCTCGCTCGCTATTGGCTTTTACTAAGTCTTGGTCCATGGTGCATCCTTCAGCTGCAGTTCTTTTCACAAATGATTGTCGAATAGAATCTGAGGGCTGAATGAACCTTCTCGTGGAATCATTGTGCGCCACCTCCAGCTTTTCCATCTTGCAGCTTCTCCACCTGTAGAATTCTGGCAGAATAGTGAGTCTGAGACCAACTGTTTGCCCTGGTGCTCCAGCCAGCTTTTCCGAACTTGTAAGAAAGGGTGTTGTCAGTGCTCCTACTCCTTTCCACTGCAGCTTTCCGTACTGCTGCTCCACAGTAGACCAAGAGCATTTATTTATCTCGGTGTGAAGCTATACCACACACTGTGTGCTACCCTTTATGGCGTCATGAACATTAGCTGCCACGTGTCAACCAACTCAGCTTCCTGTGTCTCGTCTTGGAACCTAGGCCTGGTTTGCAGCGCTCCGTCGCTTCAACTGCCAGTGGGTCCTCATGCTGCAGGCAGCCGGGTTGGCACACTGATTTGACACCCAGTAAGGCCCCACGTCATTCATGGGCAGGCAACGAGTCAGGAGCCCCCTCTAGGCCCTTATTACATTGTGGGTAGCAGGCTACCCCTCTGTCCAATAATCCGTCATGTGCCCTTCCAAAACTTGTCTGGGCGAATCCATGCTGACTGACCCTTTTTTTTTCCTGACACCAAAGGAAAAAAAAACATGCTGATTTACCCTGACCTCGACATGGGCTTCACTGTGGCTGCGGGTCGAGTAGTTCAAACTTTACAGCATTCAACTGTGAAGACGACGAAAATGGTCGATGGACTCAGAGATCAATTAACCGGCTGCCGACAGATGGCAATAGCCGAAGAATGAAGTCGGAGGCAGGTGGAAATATTGACGAGATGTTGACGCTTGGCACCCCCGTCTATCGAAGCAGAGTGTTAAACTTTGCTCTCTGAAGGCCATTTGCATCCTGAGATATGGTCCGTAATGCAACTGCTGGAGCTGTTCAGCTAGCGTTCGACTATGAAGATCAAGAAGACGAAGAAGGACCCTCAAAGACGGCATTCAACCAGAGCAGGTGAGCATATCTCAGATGGAATAGGCCGGCTGTCTTGCACAAAGCTCTGTTTTCCTTCTTTTCTTTTCTTTTCTTTTCTTTTCAGGCCAGACGAAGATGTACCATTCATCTGACAGGATCGAAAGACATCTTCTCGACTTCATCTCGAATTCCATCAAAAAGAGGGGAGGCCAAGTATCGCTCTCCGAAACTGGCTACGTGCGCGACCACCAGCTTTCCCTTATTTTTCGGCCTCTTGGCGACAATTACTCCAGCTGCTATGGTCGCTCCTGATGAGATCCCAACCAGCAACCCCTCCTCCAGTGCAGTGGCTCTAGCCGTTTGTAACGCGGTCTGGGTTGACACAGGAATGATCTCATCCACCAAGGACATGTCGAGCTGCGGGGGCTTCACACCGATACCAATGCCCAAGATTTTATGTAGTCCCGGCTTCCGGCCGGAAAGCACAGCGCTCTCCTCGGGCTCCACAGCAATGATCTTGATGTCCTTGTTCATCTGTTTGAGAAACCGTGCGACCCCAGTGATGGTCCCACCTGTCCCAACGCCACAGACGAAGTGGGTGATCTGGCCTTGGCTGTCTCTCCAGATCTCTGGCCCCGTGGTTTCGAAATGGGCCCTGACCAGAGCCGGATGGTCGAACTGCTTCACCATGAAGGATCCAGGGGTGGAGTTGGCAATCTCCTCAGCCACTTTCATGCAGCCCGGCATACCTTTACTAGGGTCAGTAATGACAACCTCGGCGCCATAGGCAGCCAGCAAAGTGCGCCGGTCCATGTCCACAATTGCCGGCAAGACAATAACGACTTTATACCCCAAGGCGGCCCCCACAAAGGCCAGCGACACTGCCGTGTTCCCACTGGTCGCCTCGATGATTGTACTTGTTCCTGGGGTGATGGTCCCTTTGGCCTCGGCGTCTCTTATCATGGCCAGACATATCCGGTCCTTGACGGAACGAGCAGGCTGCAGAAAATCCACCTTCACTGCGAGTTTTGCTAGGCACCCCTCGGCAATGGGGTTCAAGTACACCATAGGGCTATTGCCCACCAAATCAGCAATGTTGTCCATGATGTTGAGCTTAACTTTGTCTACGGTCTTCCTCTCCGATTTGCCACCAGCAGATCCTTCTGCTCCATCCGGTAGCGGAACGTTCACGCCCGCTTTCGTAGAGGTGAAGCTCTTACCAGATCTCGCGGTCAGCCCGATTGTTGTTGTTGCAGTCGGTTGAGCAGGAACGAACTTCGCCACTGTCGAGTCAGGTTCCTCCTTGTCATTCGCTGCCGCTGCAGGTCTGGGAGAGGCTTTCCCTGTTGCAGCTGTTTGCTGCTCCCCGTCATCTCCGGGCTTGGTGGTCTCTTTCCCTTGTGCCTTGCCTCCACGAGCCGAGAGAGGACGATTCTTGTTTCCTCCTGCTGCTCCACCTCGCGCAGGGGAGGATGTTCTGCTGCCAGCCGCCTCATCTCCATTCCCAGGGTCTTTTGCTGTTGGTGTCTTCTTCCCGTCTCCGCTCCCAGGGTCCTTTGCTGTTGGAGTCTTCCTCCCGTCTCCGCTCCCATGGTCTTTTGGTGTTGGAGTCTTCTTCCCGTCTCCGCTCCCATGGTCTTTTGCTGTTGGAGTCTTCTTCCCATCTGGAGCAAACGAATGGCCACCCTTGCTTCCCCGCGATGGGGAAGGAGAGGACTTGTCTGCTCCGCTGGACGCACTTGGGCTTGCCGCGGGGCTACTGTTGACCTCACCCGTGCCATCACCCTTTACGGGCTTTTGCTGTCCGGGCTTCTTGCTATCACTCGATTTGTCCTCAGAAGAGGCAGATGAAGAGGCAGTGGGGCTGGAGACAGCCGCGGCCACATCTTGACCTTTAACTGACGACTTTCTCTTACCTTTGCCACCCTTCTGGTCGCCTTTCTGGTCCTCTGACACGGAAGCCTTGCTTTTCGATGACTTAAACATTGCGCCCTTCTACGGGTCAGAAGGTGGTTTCCCAAAGGGCTCGTGGAAGTCTTGGCTTTCAGATGGAAAGCCCGCACACAACCTTTCTTAAGCTCCCGTTTGATGACGACTCGACGCTAGCAGCAACAGCTTACAACTATCCTCCCCGTTTTCTCAGCCGCTGTCATCAACATCCTGTGGGATACTCTTTTTTTCTTTGCCTTTTTTCTTCAATCTAGTGCTTCGCCTCGGTTTTCCGTGGATGAAGAAGACTCGTACGATGACATAACTGATGACACCTCAAACCTCCCCTCGCCCCCGTGGTAATCCACTGTGGAGATAGCAAGGGCAAGCCCATCTCTGACCTTATTTTTGGGCAGACACTTCTTCGGCGTGCAATCCTCAATGCTATCTATCACTCCAGCATGGCTCAGCCTAGGTTTCTGAACCCTGGGATAACTGCGATAGCAACAATGATCATCTATAAACCCACAAGTAAGGATTCTAGTAAATGTCGTCACACGACTTGTCAGATGAACCTCTTACGATCTTAATTACAAGTGATTGAACCCAGCATTTTGTAGGCTAGTTGCAACTTGCTGGATTTCTGATGTGCATGCATGAGGAAGGGCACAATCGAAAGGTCATGTATCATGCGAGGGCAGTGGCACAATCGAAGCTACAAGTTCTATATTCGGAACATGATGGGCTTCGCTTCTAAACTCGAAGACTTTTATATTTTCAATGCAGCTGACTTGATTTGCGGTGTGTGCACCGGAAGGTCATGTATCATGTGAGGGTAAATATTCTGCGTACGGTGGGCATGACACCTGCAGTACCCGAAAGCGCTGGTCCTGGTTCCGACATCAAAGCCCGGAGGCATGAATGATCGCCAACCTCAGCATCCTGAAACCCTGCCGCCGACCACCACCATTGCCCTCATCGTCGTCATCGTCATCATCATCATATCATCATCATCACCATCACCAGGGCTCCGGCATTGTTTTCATGGTTGTTGTCATTGCCACAACGATCACCAGAAAATCATCTAGAGAGCAGCAACTGTCATTGCTCATCACCCAGTGCCAGTTCTGAACACATACTGTGAGCGGATAAGACCCCAATTACCTGCGGCAGCAGCACTTCTGAAGCGATGTCTATAGAACCCGATGAGCTGACCTACAACAGTGCAGTCACTCCAGGTCTCCTCCTGTTTCCTCTCGCTTTCTCTGCTGTTCACACCTCTCTTTTTGTTTAACAATTCAAGGCCATTAATGACGGCGAAAATGCCCTCTTCTGACTGAGGGTGTGGATGCCACAGCGTCCCTACAGCACTGGCTGGCTATGTTCTGCAAGATAACGCTAGAGCAACAACAGCCACGGCAGAGAACCATTGATAAGAGCAATGGCAGATTAGCAGCATTGAAAGGTCAAGCAATGAACATTACCATTCCAATCACCACAACTAGCCCAAAACAAAACGCCAAGAAAAAAAGCGCGAAGAAAAGTCCGAAATGGAAGACTCTTCAAAAAAAAAAAAAAAAAAAAAAAAAAAAGGGGGTGGCAGTGTTGAGATATAGAGACAGGGTCGCTGGTGTACCTGGGTTTGGAATCCACTGGGCACAGACGGTGCGTGGCCGTGGGAATGGAGGGCCCTGCTGTGCGGGCACTGGCAAGCCCAGGTCTCAACGTTCACAACGAACCTCTTTACAATAGGAAGAAAAGTCGTACTCTGGGTCGCTTTGGTGGCGCAGGTGTACGCGGACTCTGGAGAAGGTGCACACTGGGCAAGGGAAAACTCTGGAGACTGTCAAGGACCTCGTAGAGACCACAATCAGGGTCCAACGGAAAAAGACGGTGTAGAGGACTAAAGTCCTTACTAGAAAGAGCGACATTGCTCGGCACATTCCGGAGTTTTGCATATTGGCTGGAAGGGGAAGGGGGGGGGAAGGATTGCAAGGGTTCAATGGGACAGCTGGCAGCTGGACAAGCATCAACGACTGGAAGACTTGCAGGACTACCGGCTGCTGTTCAACTACTGGACCAATGTCCCTGTTCACACCCCGCTCCCCCCGCCCTCAGATTTCCCAGATCTTTTCCCCCTCCCCAGGCACACCATGGTCGATTTGAGCTGGTACGGGCGGGAATACGAGGGTTCAGCCCAGTAGAGGCACGACAGGGGCGCAGATGGATGGTGATAGGGGAAGGGGATTCCATACGGCCACCGGTCGCCCCCTGGTGCACGGAACCCATCCCGCCTCCCCATCCGCCACCTACTTCGACCCTACCTGGCACAAGCTGGGCCTGGCGCTGGTTGAGGGCAGCTGTGGTATCTGTCTTCCATCTACCACTCCTGCGCAGTCAATCCCCTGGGACTCCAGGGCAATCAATGCTGGCAGGCACTAAACATTTCTATATGTCTTGACATTGAAAAAAAAAAAACAATGTTCAGGGACGCTGGACCCACTTTCCAGCAGGTGCTGCTTCCCACCAATAGATGGAGCGTCCCCGGCAGTGCTAGTGGTGCCTTCTCTTATCAGCACCCCTAGCATCCGCTCCAGTTGTTCTCTCTTAAAAAGGGGGGGGGGGGGGGGAGAAAAAAAAAGTATATCTATATCTATATCTATATATATAGATATATATCCACAGGGTGATCAGCCCAGGTAATTCGAGATTATTATGGAAGTTATTGTAGATTATACATGTCATGATCGTGACTTATTGAACCTCCTTATTGATCTTATGTTGTGACAGATATGTTGAGAGGTTTTAAGACTCTTGAAGTATCCTGAAATTGAGGGTCTCAACCCTGAGGCATCGTAATTGAGCCATGAATGTCAGCTATGATGATATTGACTTAGATTTCAACCAGGGAGAAAAAAAAAAAAAAAAAAAAAAAAAAAAAAAAGAAGCTATATTCTTCTCTCAATTTCACCTCACACTACCTACCTACCACTACTCCTAATTGTAGGCATGGGAGCTCCTTTTGGATGTGTATTGGGCGTGTCCAGCGGCAGCAGGATCTGAGCGGTCACTTCCACTTCCAGTTGGCCCGATCCTCCCGCATAGCTACGGGTTACAGGGCGGCACAACTCGCCCCAGCGAGTTACCAGTGTTGACTGGCCATGGCCACTAGTCCTCCTCAGGCCACTGAAAGTGGCGGCAAGGGGAATAGAGCCCAGCACCTACGCGGTGCCGCTCAGGCATGAACCTACTGAACCAGCCGACCAAGATCTTGAAAAAATGTATAAATAGAACGCTGGACCCGGTTTCTAGCAGGTGCAGCTCCCCACCAATGGATCGGAGCCATCCACCCCGGGATACTTCCATCTCGAGGGTTCACTCACCACCCTTGGGATAGAGGTCACGCGCCCGGATGATTGCAAAAAAAAAATAAAAAATAAAAAATTGGCCAAGTGCCAAAGAGTACTTAGATTAAAGGGTTTCCTACGAAGCTGTTTTTCCCATACTTTGAGGGCCTTCTCCCGAAACCATGGTGGGGTCTGGGACGCCTGGGTAACAGTATTTCGAGAAGTCGACATGTTCTCATGAGTTGAGGGGTCCCCGGAAGGGTGGCTCTCACGGGGACTTGGTGCACACGCCTCTGCTCGGAGGGCCATTGGATTTTGCCCACAGCTGAAGGGACATTTTTTGGACACAATGGACTGACCGGGACGACTCCTGCTCCCCCTGAAAAATTCCCTGCCTATCCATGTCACTGGGTTTCTTGGAAAGTTACGTACTGTCTCTACATCGTAGGGCCTGACACGTAGTGCTGCGCTCTGACCTGGGGTTTGCTCGGACCCGGCTCTCGTTTCGAAGGCTGGATATCTTGTATTTAACTACGTTTTCTGATCAGCTCTACCCTCGTGTCTCTGATGAAGGCCAGCGCGCTCTTGGATGATTGGCCTCGAGCGTCACCACGACGTGTCGGGACCCTCATTTAGTATGCTTCAGCGGCTCATGTTCTCATGCACCCAGAAGCCAGCAGGCTGGAGTTCGGTTTGCAGGAATTCTCTGAGTTTGTCTCCCTCTCACTCCCTCTCCTCTCCCGCACCTTCCTTGCTTTGTCTCTCCCCGGTTCTCCGCGTCTCTCTCTCTCTCATCTCTATTCCTGTCTTTGTCCCTCCACCTTCTCTCCAGCTCTCTCTCTCTCTCTCTCTCTCTCTCTCTCTCTNCTCTCTCTCTCTCTCTCTCTCTCTCTCTCTCTCTCTCTCTCTCTCTCTCTCTCTCTCTCTCCCCTAGTCAAATTATTTTCCCTGTCACTGTCTTTCCCTCTCGGCTTCTCTCTTCCATCCCATTCAACCGCTCCGACATCTGACACGGCCATTTCTAGGACTCTTAACTTCTTCCATCTCCATCTGCTGATCACTTTCTTTGCAAGAGGTCTTTTTTCATTTCCTTAGGTCCTTCTGACATAGTTTGATTTCTTTCATCTACCCAGTTCTTGGGAATGGCTGGTCTGGTCCTCCGACTCTGCTTGCTTTTGTACGATTGTCTGCTACCAGTATGGGTACCACGCCTGATTTACTTTGTTGTTGTGCATTTGGTTGTGGATGTTTTGGAGCTATTCATGATGAATGCTCCTTATATCTTTTTTGAAAATCTGTCACTGGAGGTCGAGCTGAGCATTTATCCGATCCACTTGCCGCATATGCGATCTTATATCTTTTTTTGAAATCTTTCAACTGGAGGTTGAGCTGAGCTTTTCTCCGATCCGCTTGCTGCATACGCGATCAAAGGCCGTGTTCTGACGGATGTAGCCTCCTTTTTCCTTTTTTCGTTTTTAAAATAGCTGCGGTCCCCACTAGAGGGGGTGGTATGAACAGCCTCCCCTAGTTCCGTTTGCCGCTCCATCTATTGGTAGGGAGGAACACCTGCTGGAAAACGGGTCCAGCGTCCCTTACACAGACGATAGCTTCAGACAAGTTCCAGATCCACCAGCAATGATTGCCCTGGGAGACCCGGGGATTGACTGAGTGGATTGACTTCTGCTGTATG